AGACTCCACATGCCGCGGAGCAGCTGAGCCCATGAGCCATGGCCGCTGAGCCTGCGTGTCCGGAGCCTGTACTCCACACTGGAGAGGCCACAACAGTGAGAGGCCCGCGTACCGCAAAAAACAAAAACAAAACAAAAAAAACACACAAACTGGCCTGACTTCATTGTAACTTGACTTTCTTTTTTTTGCGTTACGCGGGCCTCTCACTGCTGTGGCCTCTCCCGTTGCGGAGCACAGGCTCCGGACGCGCAGGCTCAGAGGCCATGGCTCACGGGCCCAGGCGCTCCGCGGCATGTGGGATCCTCCCGGACCGGGGCACGAACCCATGTCCCCTGCATCGGCAGGCGGACTCTCAACCGCTGCGCCACTGGGGAAGCCCTGTAACTTGACTTTTAATGAAGAATATTGTTAAGAGGTTTGGGTAGCCATGGAAACAGAGAAAAGAGCATACAGGGTCATTTTAGGGTCAGTGCCCATCCAAATGCTGTCAGGAGAGAAGGAGCCCAAATCAACAGTGCAGCAGGATGCCCCTACTATATTGGAGATCAATGTACAAAGTTGCAACCATTGGAAACTGAGTATTTCTATCTCTGGGACAAAACAGTCCTGTCATGGAGTTAGATGAATCAAGAAGAGTCTGTACACACAACTCCACTTGTTCTGAACCTGTGCTCATCAAGCAACCTTCTGTTAATGCCTTTGGTTTCCTGAGTAGGTTTGTCTACATAGAAAATGCACTGGCTTTGCAATCTTGAGTATTCAGGTATATAAATTACAGCTCTTGGAAATTAATAATTATTCTGGCTGTACACACCAGTCTTGTGACCTCAGTTAAGGTAAGTTCATCTGATGGCTGGAGCTGTTCTACATTGCTAATGAAAGATATTTCTGTGCTAAAATACTCTAGACAACATCCTAGAGTATTTTGGAAAATTCACCAAAGTTATGCTTCCCTGTTTGCCTGGGGAGAGTCAGCAGGCCTTTCGCTGGCAATGACCCTATATCAGCCAAGCTTTTCCATTTCAAAAGATCATTGATTATCAATGGGGTGGGGGTTGAGTGCCTGTGATTTACCTCTCTTTATTATTTTATTTATTCCAACATTGCTACAGTGACAATTTCATGACCACAATTGTATAGAAGACAGCTCAGACCAGGAGAGGTGGTAGATAACCTTTGAATATAAAATATACCATAAACAATTTATAAAGTGGACACAATTTACCATCTACTACACATCCACCATATGTTTAAACACAGTATTATCATTACAGTCCCTCACTTACAGATATCCTTGCCTCCCTGTGTTACACATGCCTGGTAAAACTCAGCATGGGTGAATCTTTCTATCTTTTCTGTAGCTGTACCAAAGAGCTAACATTGCTGGAGAAATCATATGAATAAACTGAATGGCATATTTTAGATCCATAATCACAACTTCAAAAAATGCTCTCAGCAGATCATGCGAATCCTACTCTGTTCCTCACACTAGGTTTACTTTTTCACTCTCTGAGATAACTTTTGAATCTCCTTCTCCTCAAACTCCTACATACCAAGCCCTCTCATCAGATTACTTTGCTCCCTACTTCGCTGAGAAAATAGAAGCCATCAATGGACTTCCCTTATGTTCCCACCATCAAATCAACAACTGTCCCTAGAGCTGCAACTATCTTCTCCTCCATCAGTGCTCTGGACTCACCTCTTCACACCTTCTCATGGATTTCTCTCTTTTAGTTTCCCTCTCTCTATTACATAATTGCCACCTCTTCCCTCTTCTCGATTATTCCTATTATCATAGAAACATGATCTATTGTCTCCAATGTTTTAAAATGTCTCTCCTTACTCCACATCTCTCCAGCCACTACTCTCTCTGTCATGACAGAGTTCAAGTTCTGGAAAGAATGGTTTATCTACAGTCTCCACTTCCTCAACATCTATCTCATTTTTAGCTCTCTACCATATGGCTTTCTGACCTCACTGCTCCACTAAAAATTCTTGTAAAAGATACCAGTAACCTCCATGTTGCCAAATGCAATGGACACTTCTGGCTCCTTCTTCATAAGACTTGACCTCTCAGCAGCATTTAACATAGTCGATTGCTCACACTTTCTTACAATACTCTCCTCTCTTGGCTTCTGTGACATCATCCTCTTGGGTTTTCCAGTTCTCTGGCATCTGCTCAGTGTTCTTTGCTTAATCCTCCACCTCCACCTAACCTCCAAATGTTGTTGTTCTCTAGGTCTGGCCCTTTATTCTTTTGTTTCTCTAATCTCTCTCTCTGAGTTATCTTATCTCTTCCCACTGCTTGAAACACGTGAAGTACATATGAAACATGTCTATGAAGCCCAAATCTCTATCTCCAACCCCAACCTTCCCTCTGAGCCCAAGACATCCATGTCAACTGCATACTTTATCTACAGTTGGACACTATGTGAACACCTCAAATTTAACATGCCTAAAATCTAATTGTTCTCAATTTTTTCTTTTTAATATTTAATTTTTATTGCTCCACAAACCAAACTGCTTTCCTTTCCTCTCCCATCCCCATGGTCTCTATAAATGTCACTGTCATCCACCCAATTGTTCAAGCCATAAACCTATGTCATCGTTTTTTTTTTTGTTTTTAATTCTTGGCCGCATTGCGCAGCATGCAGGATCTTAGTTCCCTGACCAGAGATGGAACCTGTGCCCCCTGCAGTGGAAGTGCAGAGTCTTAAGCACTGGACTGCCAGGGAAGTCCCTAAATCTACGTTATCATTGATTCTTCTCTGTTCTTCACACCTTCCCCTCACTTAGAAGTGATCACCTCCCACAAGCAAATATATTCCAGCTCTAAAAATATATACTAAACCTGTATACTTCTCTCCATCCCACAGTCTCTATCCTACTCCAAGCTACTATCATTCTTCACTACTGTAATTACTTCATTACCGCCTAGTGGGGCTCCTTGCTTCTATTCTCACCTCCCTTTAATCCATTCTTCACACTCTTCATTCAGCAGTAACAGTGAGCTCCTTAAAATGGAAAATCAGACCATGTGACTCCCCTTCTCAAAATCTTCCAATGACTTTTCACTGTACCTGGAAGACATTCTGAACTCCTTACCCTGGCCTCCAAGGTCCCTCTAAGCCTAGCCCTTGTCTCTCCTTTTAGTTTCATCTTGTGCCACTCTCTCTTAACTAAGCTCCAGACAGACTCCTCCTAGTTCCTAGAACATTCCAAGCTCTTTCCCAAATCAGGGCACTTGTAATTGCAGTTCATTTGGTCCAGAGCACTTTTCCACCTACTCTATGCATTGCTGAGTAGGTCCCTACTCTTATCATTTAGGTCCCAGTTTAAATGGCACCTTCTCAGAAAGGTACTCACTGACCACATAAAGTAAATCTGGAGTTCCTGTCTTCCTCGTTATTCTTTTCTTCCTTCCTGTTTCCCTTCCTTCCTTCTCTCCGTCTTTCCTTCCTTCCTGACCTTCTTTTCTCTCCCTTTTTTTTCCAGTTATTCTTTACCTTAATATCCTGTTTGTTTCCTTCACTGCACATATCCAAATCTACTATGTGATCTGCATCACTACACTGTTTCATTAGGACCAAGATCTTAACTTTTCTTTACCTTTGTATCCCAGTACCTAGCACATATAGTAGGTGCTCAATAAATATTTGGTGAGTCAATAACACAAACTTGAGAAGTAGGTGTTATTATCTCCATTTTACAAAATGAGAAAACTGAATTTAAGAGATGTTAACTTATCCATACTACATAGTAATTAATTAGCAGAACTGTTCATTCATACCTGTTTGAGTCTTATTTTAAAGCCTAAAAATATGTAATCCTTTTTGTATCTTAAACACAATGCTATATATATTTACATAAGCATGCACACTATATACACACATGAATGCACTATATATGTATACACACATTTATCATTTGTTTCTCATAACAATTTTATCACTCAAAAAAATTTTTCTGATTGTAAAATCTGGAAATTACAGAAAGCTATGCATAAAGTATTTTTAAACATCTGATGGCTCTAAGAAAACTATTGTTAAAGTTTTTAGCATTATAAACATTTCAGAGTTCTTTTTTTTTTTTTTTCTTTTTGCGGTATGCGGGCCTCTCACTGTTGTGGCCTCTCCCGTTGCGGAGCACAGGCTCCGGACGCGCAGGCTCAGCGGCCACGGCTCACGGGCCCAGCCGCTCCGCGGCATGTGGGATCTTCCCGGACCGGGGCACGAACCCACGTCCCCTGCATCGGCAGGTGGACT